CCCAGACAAAGATGTGAAGAAGTTATTGGTTAAATTCCAAACTGTTCAGTGAACAGACAAAAATACTTATAGTTATTCCAATTTTAATTAACATAACCGTAAAATTTTGTTTCATAAAGATACAGCACTTATTATTTCCTGTGCAAGAGGGATAAATAAGAAAAGCTGTTAAAACTGAGGACAAGTTCAAAAGAAGCTGACTGCTTTGTAAAAAATATGCTTAATACTGAAAAATGAACGGCGGGAAGTATAGTAATTTTTTTTTGAAGTTGTTACACTGATGAAAACTTCCATCATAACTTTTGGCAGTATAAAACAGAAGAAGAAATGAGCAAAAAAAAGTGACCCATCTCAAAAAAAAAAAAACGGTGAATTGCTGCTGAGCCTGATGTTAAAATCCCGCAGATATGACAGCATTGTTCAGTTCACAAAGGCTATTTATTTTTTCATATTATATGAAGAGAGGAAGTGAAAAAAATTAAACAGAACTAAGCTCATGGGACAAAAAAAAAAAAAGATAGACTGTTAACAGATTTAAATATTTAAATATACAAAGAATTGGCTGCACTATTTCAATTAGCGTTATCAAAAGATTAAGAGACTGTGCACTGGTGTGTTGATCAGCCAGCGGAAAGTGATTAATGATCAAGAAATACACAAAATCGAAGCATGCACTTGCATAAAACTCATGTACTTTGGATTAACGATCAGTGGTCGTAAATATCGAACACCACAACAATTACATACAAACAGCTATGCGATTGATTTAGAAGCTTTTAAAAGGACCACTTTAAAACGCCCATTTGAAGTCCATTTTGACAATTCATAATTGAAAGTGGAACAAATAAAAATTCATAACAAATTTCTCAGAAATTTAGAAAATTTAGATGAACTAAAAAAAAACTTGGTAGCCTTAAGCCAATGGAATAGACTTATCAACTCAGTGCACCATCATTGTCAAGTTGTCGTTTAAGTTATAGAAAATACTCCACAGTACCAGGCTTTCAGCAACACTTTTCAAGAAGCCATAAATTTTCCCCAGAAAAATTACAGAGAAAATTCTATGATACAAAATTCTATAATAGATATTTTTCCCCATCAATACCAAAATTTATTACCCTTATTAACCAACAGAGTAATTTTGTTGATAACTAAATTCTGATACAAAATTTATATCGACTATTTGAAATAGTTGTTGATTTTTTCATTGAGATCGATGTCATTGAGTGTTGTCGTAAACTTCAGAATAACATCAAGTTTTCTGTTCGGAATAATGGTAAATCCAGTCACCGTCATAAGCAGAAAGGATATGAAAAAAGTAGTAATTTTTCAAGTCCCTGGGAGAATACAATTAAAAATTCGGAAACTTTTTTAAATCCTTTTTTTTTTCTTGCTAGGTTCCTTTAAGTGAAGAAATTTTTTTTTATACGAGATTAGACTACAGATGTCAACTATCCCTGAACTTCTTCTAGCTTAAGAAATGGTTTGATTTAACTTGTGACAAGTAATTTTCTTTGAAATCATTTCTACTTTTTATACTTTCATCACTAAAATGTCATACTAGTTGAAGGCCGTCGCAGCAACATAGCGATGCCAAAAATTTCAAGAGACAGAGGATTTTCCTGAGACGGGCAAAATGCGGCAAAGATTAAGAATTTTGATTGCTTACTGCTAAAGCTATTCTAGAAGAAATTCTGACGAGGGATGGCCAAGTACACACACCATTACAGTGCACGTTTGAAGCTCCAGTTTTCGGCAGTACCTTAATGGAGAAGTTTGAAGCATTCTTACGTCGTTCTGCTTCTGTAAGCGTTAGTAAAAAATACATAGCAAAATCTCGATTCTTCTATGTGATGTTTTTAAGTTTTATTTCTAAACCAGGCAAAAACTTGTTTTTTCCAAAAAATTCTTCCAAAGCAATGGACCACTCAAATCATCCTTACTTTACGGGTCCTATTCTCTCGGCGCAATGTATTTGCTCTTCTGTTCCGAGTATAACAACAGCGAAAATAATAATATTTTGTTCTCGAATAACCAATAGGATTTCGAAGTCCAGTGCTTGTCGTTGCCCCTCTTCAAAGGGGGCTTGACCGTGACTTGGACAATAAGCTGCAGTAAGTTTTGTTCCTTATAAAGCAAGACTACTCACCCTGTGTAAAAACCATTTAATCTACGCTTGACTTGAGCAAACATGCTTTTTTTTCCCTTGTGGATCTCAACTTCGTTGCCTTGCACGTTTTATAAATCCAGTGAATAGTCTTTTGTATTCTTCAGTAAATTCTTTCTTCTTTACTTCCGTTGTTTCCGTCCACAAGAACTTTTTAACGGTAGAATGCTTTTAAAATCAACCGTGAATTCACTCAGACCGTTCTTTAAGCTTTCAGCATTCTGAAAATTCAAATGACATCTATTCCAAGATAAAGCTGATTGGCCTCAACATATAAGAACAATGCGGAAATGATGAGAACATATCATTAATTTTTTCGGCTTGTTACGAAAGGAATACCAGTATCTTCTTTGGACAATCATGAGGTAAAAGTTTCTTCTTTCATAGAAATGGTCTAGTAGAAAAAGAAGCACAGATTTTTTTTCAATAGAAAATTTTTACTCTTTTGATCCGGTAATCAGAAGAGCTGAAGCTGTAAATTCACTGCTATGGAAATCGGTCAAAGTGGAGATGAATGTTCAGAAGTGGTAGTAGTTGGGTCCAGAAGAAGTAATTGATACTTCCCAAAAACTTTTTCGACGGCGTAGACCACAACTGGCGTAAACCTGTCCTTACTGTCAAATTAACTGCCACCTAAATTTGGCGGCAAATTTTGTGCTTTTGAAAAGAGCGCGAAAAATTCCCGTTACAAATTTTACGTACAGAGCAGTGAGTGCTAAGTGCAGTTGTTTTTTTGTGCGGAGATATGTAACTTGTTGCTTAGAAAATTTTTTCTTCTGGGTTTTTTCAAGACAATCGATTCTTTGTTATGTAGCAGTCAGCAGAGTGTACGTTGTAGTTTTTTTTCACGACATCTTAACATGGACAAACAAGTTTTTGTGAGGAACGTAACCGGTTATAAAACTGTTTTAGACTACTGCTCCAGTTCCATTTTCTAAACTCCTTTTGTTATTTCAAAGGTACTAAGATTAAGATGAGTGTGCAAGGTTTAGAGATGTTGCCATTTTTTTAAAACAGCTATACGCGCGATTAAGAAAGACTAGGAATTGAATGGGACATACAAACGATCTTTTAGTGGAATTGCTGGCACTTGAATGGTTTCATCATTTGATTACAGGTTGTGAAGCATAAATATTTTATGTAATTAACCGATAGGTCCAATATCCGGCTCCTGCTTATTCGATGGAATGCTCCAGTGAACTGGATACAGGATACAATAATCAATGAATTTGAAGCTGCTAGAAAACAGCGAAAAAATCTGTGGAGCTTTAGTGATGAAATAAAAGATTTTTGAGTAAGCTCGATGGAGATACGTATTAAATGTACCAAATATTTTCAAATATAAGATGAAGTTTCATGCCAGTGATATTAGTTGGAAAATACTGAAACATGCAAGTTATGAAGTAGTTTCTCATCTAGTTTGCTTTCGGTTCCGTGTCCTGTCGGATTTTTGAATGTTTAGTCTGTTGCAGAATCATTCTGCTAAAGAAGTTTACCAAGATTGGTCAACACTATTGTCTGACAATTCTCCAAGCAAATGCACCTCCGTTCCTGCAAGGGTAAAGTTGTGGGTATTTTTAAAGTTACGAGAGCATACTGTTTGTCGTGGAGATTGCACAACTGGTCATGATTTCTAGTTTTTGTTTAGTTTAGAAGAGTTACAAAACTAGTTGGGCTATTTAAAAATTAACTGGGTATTTGCAGTTTGGGTACTGGTCATTGTAATGTCAGGAATATCAAATGAGTATTTTTAGCAGAAGAGGTAGGCCACAAATTGCTTTTGAAGTATAATCGCTAAAGTCTCTTCTTCGTGATTAGTGTTTGAAGATATTCTAGTTTTTGAAACATACCCTTTCTCATTACTTTCAAATTAATTTTCTTTTGAATTATGGTTTGCTAGTACAATTTTCGATTCCTCAGAGCGCAGTTAAGTAGTCGCGTTTTTTGCTTTATTAATTTTGAGCTCACTTCAATATACTCCTACAGGTCCCGCGAAAAATATGGGTGAAGAAGCCTTATTGAATGAGGCAGATGCGAAAAGTGATAGTTCAGAGAAAGAAAACGGAAACTGGAATTCAGAAATAGAGTTTGGATGGGAATACGAACTTTCTAAAAACAAATGGGTCGCATTCGACAAGGAAGTCTCAAAAAAATTAAAGTTTGTACCTGTTCGAAATTGTTTATGCAGTCTTGATAACTTTTTGCTGGTTACTTTCAACTAATTTTGGTCCCACGTGCGTACTTTAACAGAGAATCAGCAAGAGCTTGATTAATCTTCAACTGAGGATGAAATGTAAAAAGGATCAAAG